GACTGCATGGCTTCCCAGGCGGCACTAGTGGTAAAGAACCTGCCTGCCAATGCAGAAGACACAAGAGACCTGGATTCGATCCCTGGGTCGGGAAGATCCCCTGGAGCAGGGCACGGCAGCCCACTCCAGTCTTCTTGCCTGGAGAATCCCATGGACGGAGGAGCCTGACAGGCTATGGTCCCTGGGGTCACAAAGAGTCAGACGTGGCGGAAGGGACTTGGGAGCCACAGATGTGTCCAGAATACAGTCTTGCTGGCAACCGCTGGTCTGCTGGAGCCAACACACCCTGATCTTCAGGAACCAGGCTGCAGGGAGGGGGGCTCGGGCCGGTGCGGTTAGGGAAGGCTCTGTGACCGCACAGCCCTGGGTCCCCGCAGAACCAGCCCCTGGCAGGGGACCACTCAGGCTGAAAAGGAATGCTGAGCCCTGCGTGTTTCTGAAACCCCAGGCTGCCTGGGTTGGCCTGACCGCTGCTGAACAACCCCAGTGGCGCTGAGGATGTGCTGGGGATGCCAAGAGGGGAGCTCCAGGGCTCCAGGCTCAAGGAACTCACTGGGAGTGGGGTGCAGGCTGGAGCAGGGCCTTGCAGGAAGGCCTGTGAGGTCCATCACTTTGAAACAAACAGGCAGAGGGGAAAGAAAGATTTGCTGCTCTTCCCACACGCCCTCATCCATCTTTACCTGGTATGGTGCCTCGTTCTGGTTTGTTATCCAGCCACGGATGAAACCCTGGAAGTCTGAGACTCACGTGAAATGTGCGTTCCCTCTTTTCCTGCAGCTCCCCCGAACCAGTGGCCCAGGAGGCCAGGAAGAACAGAAAGGCCAGCCTTGGAGGCTCAGGTGGAGAAGGAGGATGCTGCCCTGAGCCCATCCGGCTGTGCCTGGCCTGTCCTCGGCTATGGAGGCCACACTGATACTGGCGGAGGGGTCCCGTGTACATAGAGGTCACCCTGGAGGGCTTCCTGCACATGCTTCCTGCATCACGTGTCTCTCCCGCTGCGGCTTCCTGATCACACACAGATGGCCTCAACCCCCTCCTTCTCTGCTGCCTGGAGCCCAAGCCTCTGCACTGCCTGCCCCCCGCTCTGGACGCGAGGCCGCAGGAATGCTCGGCTCCCCTCTGCACTTCTACAGCTGCCTGCAGAAGACGCGCAATCAGAGCTCCCGTGTTGCACAAGCGAATGAGGAGATAAGCAGCCGTCAGATCACCAGATTAAATGTATCAGATGAAATACGACCTCAAGATTCGTGCTTCCGGCCACGAGGGATTAGCAGAGACCACGCGCACCCTACTGCATCAAGCAACCAAAAACGCCCACAAAATGCATCAAATCACAGTTTTCAGATGCTGGGTGATGGACGGGGACCGTGTTCCCTGCCAGGAGGACGGTGAGGCGGGCAGTGGTCTGAGCTCTGCAAAGCCCCCTGGTTCTCACTGGGAGCCATTCCCGTGTGCAGAGCAGGAGCGCAGCCCAGAGAACGGCCTCCTCCCGGTGCTCAGGAGACAGGCCTGAATTCAGGGAGATGGGCGGATGAGAGAGGAGCCCCCGCACAGAGACAGGGGCCCGCAGAGCCGTCCTGAGACCACGGGGCGCGCGGCCAGGGGAGAGCCCCCAGAAGGGGCACGGGGCCGCCCACAGAGACCCCGCAGGCTGGAGACAGGCCTCCCGAGGGCAGGGCGGGGCTGCGACAGGCAGCTGGCGCCCCACCGTGTCAGACCTTCCGCGTTCATCCCAGCCCAACACTCCCTCTCACAGATGTTTTCTTTCCCCATCCTTGTTGAACTGCACTTTGAAAGCGATTATTTTCCAGTGAGAACTGTACTCTGCCCCCACTGTTCACTTCTTCGGGAAAACACTCCCTCGTGGCCCTTTCCTTCGGGGCATCCTTCGTTCCAGAAAGAAGCTCAGAGAGCGATGGCCTCTAGGACCACCACAGCCTCTGGCAGCTGACGCCAGCTGGGACAGTTCTGAAACTTTCCCGAGGTGAAGGAGATGGCACACTGGCACCCTCGTCTGCAGCGCGATTTCCTGGGACTGTGAGATGCTTTCCTCCTCTCTCAGGGGAGGGCACCGGCTGGAGGGCCCAAGCCCCGGGAGCCCCCTTTGCCTGGCAAAGCAGTCAGAACTGCTCCTTTCTGCTTCACCCAAAACTCTGTCTCTGCATTTTTGTTTAGCACCAGTGAACAGAGGCTGGTGTCCGGCATTAGCAGCGGTCACGACCTTCCAAGTCCTGGGGCCCTGGGAGCATCCTCAGAAGGGAGCCGTCTTAGGAGTAACAGGGTTAAGATAAGCCGACCTAAATGCCTCTCCGGACCCGCCAGGACAGAGTCTGAGAGAAAGTCACAGATGAGCCATCTGACTCCAGTCATACTGCTACCTTCAGAATGAATGAATCCCCAAATTAAAGATATATGACAGAGTTCTACCTTCAGCATGTGAAATTCATAATGTCAGGTGCCCAACAAAATGTCTAGACCGCTGTAGGTTGAATGCTTGCAGCTTCCCACGGTTCACACGCTGAAGCTGAATCCCCAGGGTGACCGTGCGAGGAGATGAGAGCCCGCCCCCATCCCCAGGGGATCGGGGCCCTCGTAAGAAGAGACGCATATGAGAGCCCACTTCCTCTCTGCTCGCCATCCTGCGCGGACGCCCTGAGAAGATGCAAACCAGGAAGCAGGCTTTCATCAGACCTGGATCCGCTGGGGCCCTGACCTTGGACTTCCCAACTGCTAGAACTGTGAGAAGTAAGACGCTTGTTGTTGACGCCAGTCAGTCTGCAGTAATTTGTTATCGCAACTCAAACTAAGGCGCAAACCTTCAAAATGACAGGAAAGTGACTCGTGATCTACACAAAGAAACAGAAAAGTGGCAGAGATGATGGAATTAGCAGAAAAAGATGCTCCGGCAGCTACTACAAATACACTGTCTGTGTTAGTCACTCAGTCGTGTCTGGCTCTTCGTGACCCTGTGGTCTGATCCTGGGATAAATGCAATGGGCTTCCTAGGTGGCACTAGTTCTAAAGAACCTGCCTCCCAAAGCAGGAGACATCAGAGACAGGAGTTCCATCCCTGGGTCAGGAAGATCCCCTGGAGGAGGGCATGGCAACCCGCTCCCGTGTTCTTGCCTGGAGAATCCTGTGGACAGAGGAGCCTGGCGGGCTACAGTTCACAGGGTCACAAAGAGTCAGACATGACTGAAGCCTCTTAGGACGCACGCACTATAAACAGACTGCACATGATCAGGAAGGCAGAGGAAAGCATAGACATGATGAGGAGCACCATGAAAGATATAAAAGACTAAAGAAAGATCCTGAAGATGAAATGCACAATGTGTAGAATGCGATTACACAGACTGGTGCCATCCCTGCTGGTCCAGGCGTTACGGCTCTGTGCTCCCACTGCAGAAGGCTCAGGTTCGATCCCTGATCAGGGAACTAGACCTATAATGCCTCTCAGGTGCAGCAGGAAAAAAAAATACACCGATGGGGATTAACATCAGACTGGACTCTGTCAACACGCACAAAGCAACTGCGATTCTATATCCCAGCAACATTTAGAAATTGAAATTGAAAAACAAATTATCATAGCATCAGAAAGCATGAAATCAAATATTTATGGATACATTCCCCCCTTATCCATACCCTGAAAACTATAAAACAACGTGGAGAGAAATTAAATAATCTAAATTAATGAAGATATATATTTAAATCAAACAGTTCAATATTGTTAAAATGTCAGTTTACTCCAAATTGATCTACAGAGACAAACAAATCCAAGTGAAAACAGTGGCAGGGGTGTTTGTAGAAATGGACAAGGTAAATTTAAAATGGTTAAGAAACTCAAGGGATTTAAAAAAGCCTAAGCAACTTTGAAAGAGAGAACAAACCTGTAGGACTTACAATACCTGATCTCCAGACTTGCTACGAAGTTACAGTAGTCATGACAGTGGGGTGTGATAAGAGAATAGACCCATGAAGCAGCGGAACAGAAGAGAGACTGAGTTTTAACTAAAGGACCAAAGTAATTCAGTAGAAACAACAGTCTGTCCAGTATATAGAACCAGCACGGCTGGATATTCTTGTATGAAAGTTGATCTGTACCCCTTATCTCATACCATAGGCAAAAAAATAAAAATAAAAATCAGCATAGGTTATAGATCTATATGTGAGAGCTAAAAGCACAAAACACCTAGAAGAAAACAGCAGAAAATTGTCATGCCCTTGGGAATGAAGGCGATCTCTTATATAGATTGCTCAAGGCATGGACTGTTAGAGAACTGATAAATTGTAACTCATCAGAATTTAAGACTTCTGCTCTTTGAAAGACCAGAAAATGAAAAAGACCACTGAATGGGGGGAAAAATGTAAATTTATATCTCATCACTGTAGCCAGCATCTTCAAACACTTACAACTCAGTGACAACTCAAGAAGAATCAGGCGAAAGATTTTAAGTTGATTCCCCGAAGAAAACACATGGATGGCAAAAAAGCATAAGAAAAGGCACACCATGTCCTTAATTACTAGGAAAATGCAAATTAAAACTGCAGTGAGAAGTCATTTCACACTCACCAGACTGGCTGAAATCAAAAGGGCAACTGTGGAAGAGACAGCCACGGGCGTCCCACCCAAGTGGCAGGGCGGTGATGCCGAGGCCTGCTCTGAGAAAACAGGGCCAGGCCTCTCTGGTCACACACACACACACACTCACCACTCAAACCGTGAGTGACCCCTGCGTTCACCCGAGAGAATGAAAATGAAAGGCGTGCAGTCACAGGTTTGTTCTTCACAGCCCGGCTGGAAGGAACCCTGGTGCCCATCTGCTGGCAAGCAGATATGTAAATGGCGCCCCAGACACACACTCGGCCCCAGTCCACGGGTGGCCAGGGGCTGCTGAGGCCTGTTCCGCACGCCCGGAGCGCCAGGGCATTTTTCTGGGTGAAGAACTTTAACGTGTATGCCCAGGTTCTGCATTGTTGCATTTATACGGAATTCTAGAAAAGGCCAAACGATGGCGGTGGAAGCCCAGTCAGTGACGGCCGTGGGTGGGGAACGGGGAGAAGGGGTCGGCCGGAATGGCCTGGGGGGCCTTTCTGAGGTGCCCGAGACGTGCCCCGTCAGGATGATGGCCGCTGGCAAAGCCCACTGAAGGCTGGCTTTCAGACTGGGGCATTTACTGCTATCATCTATGGCTCAAGCGGCCAATAAAAACAGCTGCACATGGTTCCACATAAACGCACTGATGCTGGCGACAGGTCCCCACTGAGGACAGCGGGCTGTGGGAGGTCTGTGGGGAGGAAGGACTAGAGACGACCCCAGAAGGAGGAAGAGGGACAGGTTGAGGTGGGTGGGGGTACAGGTGCTCGGGGACGGGCTGAGGCGGAGCAGGAGTGGAGACCCCGTGCTGCAGGGGGCCATGCGGGGACCAGGGGCCCAGGGGGAGGCCAGACCGGGGCGCCAACACGGGCCCTGGGTGGGGCGCCCCGGGTGGGGCGGGGTCAGTTCCTCGTCCCGTGTGCAGATGAGGTGGGCAGCCCAGCTGAAATGCGGCCAGGGAGGCCCCAGCGCACTGGGCCCAGCCGGACCCCCACTTAGGGAAACTACTTTTTAACTGCACTGTGATAGATAATGATGCTGTCTATCTGTTATTATTAACAATGAATACAGTCAGTTCAATCAACGATTGTGAAATGTCTACTGACGCTGAGCATGCAAAGATGCATAGAACGTAAGCTCCAGCTTCAAGAACCTATCAGGTGAGCAAATCGTTATGAAACGGCAGCACTAGCTGTAAAAGCGGGGTGGGCAGGGCATGAAGGGCTTTCCTCTCAGCGAAGAGAAGGCCCGGGTAGGAGCGGCTTGTCGTGGGTGTCAGTGGAGGGTCTGGGCCAGACCTTCAGGCCACTCTCGGGGACACTCCCAGAAGAGACCTTAGAAGCTGGGCCAGAATCATGTCTATTCCTGAGTGAGGGAGTGAAGTGCACGCTCAGCTGCTCGGTCGGGTCCACCTCTTTGTGACCCCGCAGACTGCAGCCCACCAGGCTCCTCCGTCCACGGGATTCTCCAGGCAAGAATACTGCCTCTGTGTGACCCCACAGACTGCAGCCCACCAGGCTCATCCGTCCANACTGTAACCCAACAGGCTTCTCCGTCCACGGGATTCTCCAGGCAAGAGTGCTGGACTGGGTTGCTATGCCCTCCTCCAAGGGATCCTCCTGACCCAGGGATGGAACCTGCATCTCCTGCATTGGCAGAGGGGGTTCGTGACCCCTGCACCATCTGGGAAACCTTGAGACATTATTTTAATTTCCTTTGATTGACTCTTTTTTTTTCTAATTAAAATGGCAAAATACACCAGAATAACCCACATCTGTAAATTCCATGTTTTTCAGGGATAGTGTTGTACACCTGTTGGGAATAAGCGTTATTCAATTGTGGATGATGACGGATGCATCGCTCTTGTGGTGAAGCTCAGTGTTCTTGAAAACACAGCTTTCGAGTCCTCGTGTGAACCTTGTGCAGTCCTTGTGAACTGCACAAGCAGTAGCTGGAAATGATCCAGCCTGCCCCAGACCACCGTCCTCATCACAGAAATCATGTCAACTCTGCGAAGGAATCGTGTTAGTGACAGATTGGCCCAGTGTCACCACAACGGGCAAAAAGCCTTTCTTTCCCCTCAGGCAAATGACCTCAGATCTTGAGCAGCAACAGTAAGCTTTTTGGAGAAGGATTATGTTCTTTCTAACAGAAGCACTTTCTGTTGTTCTTATGAAAATTGGTAAAAACATTAAGACTTTTAAAAGGAGACATTTTTGTACCTTCTTTAATGAACAGAGAATAAAACAGACATGAGGAAATTTGTCATGACCACAATAGGAAAGTGAAATAATGGTCAATACGTGTTAAAAGTAACTGATGTTCAATTCTTAGGCCAAGTCATTGGAAGGTTTGAAAAGAGGTGCGCGATAGTGCCATCAAGTCTACAGTGGTCAGACTTACAGAGGAATTTAGAGTTGCGCCGTGGGAAACATGGCCAGCCAGAAGCAAGGGAAGCCAGGCAGCCGTGATGGTGAAGAGACCCCATGCGTCAGAGGGGGTGCTATTCTGCAAAGATGGGGGCCAGGGAGGGGTGATATCACTGACCACCTGCAAGGTGGCCTTTAGAGAGGGTCTAGGTTTACACCTTCCTGCAAAGGGTAAGAAGGCAGCCAATGAGTAGAGATGGTTTCCAAAGAACTGACCAAACGTCAGGAAGATTATTTGAATGGTTTGGCAAGCTTGGCATGAGCTGCCTTGGGGGCCAGAAGAGCCCAGGTCAGGCGCAGTGGTCACTGCTTACGGAGCACGAGGCGGGTGTGAGCTGGGTCAGACCTGCGGAATCAGTCTCTGCTGGAGTGCTCTTTGGAGAGGAAAGGGTTAGAGCGGGTGCCCCTCTCCTCTCCAGCTGGGTGCCGTGGGGGCAGGATGGGCTGGAACTTGGGAGGTGCCTTTGCAAGCGGAGGGTCTGAGTGAGGAGCTCTGAGGCAGACACCCCCGTGTGCCCTGAATGTTTCACCACCAGTAAGCCTGGAGCTGGGGCTGCTGGAGCCCCATCCACACGAGGGTGTGGGGCGGGGAAAAGGCAGCTTCCAGCCGGGCAGTGAGCGGGTAAAGACGTGGGTGCCCGGAGGACGGTGTTTTCACGTGTCGTGCTCACGGCAGGAGCCCGCGCACGCCTGTCTTTTGAGGGATCAATGCAGTTGGGCATTAGATAAGCTCCAGAGCCTGCTCAGGGCGGCCGCGACCACTCACCCCCCTTCACAGCGCCTCCGGGGACCCTAACGCACGTTTGTGTGAGCGTCGTGGCTTCACTGGGGAGTCCAGCCTCTAACAGCTGTGTCGCTGGAGTTTAGATCAGCTTGTAAATCAGTGACCTTAGATCAGTGAGTCTCTGGGAGATGTTCTGGCTGCAAAGAAAGCGGGGACGAGGACAGGCCCGGGAGAGATGCTTCGGGGTCAGTTTTGGGAGCTGCCTCCATCTGCCTCCTCCTTTCTGGAACATCCCCTCCAGTACCAGCTGGTGTCCATGCAGGCTGCGGCCAGGAGTAGACGCGCCCTCAGAAAGTGCAGGAAGGGGAAGGCAAAGCCCTGCACCAGCCCCGGCGGAGTCACCTCTCATCGCGGACACACAGAACCCATGTTTCTAAAAGTCGGGCCATCGAATGGCTTCTCTTACTTTGGCAGAGGCACGCGGTGATAAGCTGAACCTTTGCATGACTTTTGCACTGAAGCTTTGAGGCCATAAATGAAAGTAGACGTGCCAGAACCCCAGACTGAAGGAGCCTCGGGGAGCAGGCCTCTGCCCTCAGTTGTCACACTGCAAAGACTCGAGAAATCCTTAGTGCTACTAAATGAGACCAACATCTTTAACATGGTGTTCACAATGCTACTTTACATTTCATCACAGTTAAGTGACGTGGCTGCCTTGGACCACTGGCATTAGGTACCGTGTACTAAAGAAGGTACCTCGGAAACTAACAGCTAATTGACTGCCTCGCTCAAGAATGCAAAGAACACCTCACTATACACGCGTGTCCTCAGATCAGAACGGCTGTGCACAGGGCCGTGGTCCGTCCCCCTGCCCAGCTGCACTCAAGCCCACCAGAGGTCGCCCCCGCCACCCCCCGGCCTCCATTGCACAGAGGCCTCGTCCTGGGACTCTGAGGGCTTCGGAAGCCTCCTGGTCACAGGCAGAGGACAAGGATGGGGAACGGCTCAGGTCCTCAGCAGGCAGCGTCTGCGCTGGGACCCAGTGACCAGGATGGGCTCGCAGGGAGGNAAACTTAAAGTTTTGATTTATTAACAAATTAAACAAGTTTAATGGCTTGCTAAAATTAAAGCAGAAGGTTTCAATCTGTGCTTATTTTCATAAACAGTGATGGCCCCCAAGACAAAGAATGAGAACAAAAGGAACGCGTGTGTACATGGTGAGCATACACACGCACGTGCATACATGTGGGTGTGTGAATGTGCACGCACGTGTGAATGTCACATTGTGTATAGGCATGTGTGTTGTGTGTTGCATGTATGTGTGTGTGTGCTGTGTACACACACACAGGCGTGTGTGTGTGTAGGCCTGTGTATATGCATGTGTGTGTTGAGTGTTGGAGGGTGGGTGTGCACGCTGTAAGTTCTAACTGCACAGTGGGCTTTGGGATCACTGCTTTATGTCTATTACCTTGCTAAGTCTCTCAACATCCCTTTCAGATGACTTACAACCACTTTACAGGCTTTCCTCGTGGCTCAGTGGTAAAGAATCCGCCTGCCAATGTGGGAGCCACAGGTTCACTCTCTGGACAGGGAAGATGCCCTGGAGAAGGGAATGGTAACCCACTCCAGTATGCTTGCCTGGAGAATTCCATGGACAGAGGAGCCTGGAAGGCTACAGTCCATGGGGTCACAAAGAGTCAGATGTGACTCAAAGACTAAACAACGGCATACCCACTTTACAAATGGGAAGACTGCAGTTCGTTCTAATTCACCTTGTCTCCAGCAGGTCTTACTGAAGGACTATACAATTCCCACAAGATCTTAAATAATATCTTTATTTTAATACATATGGGTATCAGAGTCTTACATACCATAGAGGTAGGCATTCAATACCATGTCACTGCTGTCTTAATTCATTTGACTCACAGGCACACAGAGTTTTGCCCTTTTTTAGATGAATGTCAGTGGAGCTGAAACTCTAGGCTGGCTTCCTTCTGCTTTTGCATATGCGTGGTTAAGAAAGAAGCCAGAAGGTTTTTTCCAGTGAGTTGAATATAGGTTTGTATTTTTTTTCCTTCTGGTTCCTTTTGCTTCTTCAAAAGCTCATTTTACCTTTTCTTTTTCATTTACAGTAATTAATATTATACCTCTAATCATTTCAAGAACTAGTGACTAATTCAGACTTGGCATTGGTTTCTTTCCAGGGCTGATCACTACAATATCTGTTTTCTGCAGCTACATGGGCATTGGAGGGAATCTGTGCAGACTGTCTTAAAGACCACCATGCATCCTTTTATAGTCATGAGACGCTAACTCCCTAGTCACTGTGGCGTTAGCAGCCATTATCAGAGCTTTTCCTGTGTTGTGCTGAGTCTCATAAAAATTTCCACCCCATCAATTTCTCTTAAATGACTGCCTGAGAAGCTCCTTCCCAGTCAACCTCCAACTATTCAAGACCCTCACTTGCACTTTGCCATAAATCACCTTCCTCATCATCTCCAAAACATTTTTAGCTCAGGCTTGGCTTTCCAAACTCTTTGTGGCCTTATTTAAGTAAAGAACTGCATTTCTGCCCAGACCGATGCCCCACGGATATCACGTTACAAGGCAACGACCAAACTGCCCAAGCTCTAGTGCGAGACAATTAGAACGCATCACTTACTGTGCGTTTGAGGAAAAGCAAGCTTCCTGAAAACACGGCGCTATTCCTCAAAGTGTAAGGCCGCTGCACGTGTAAAAGTGAGCATGCTTTATGAAGTGTAAACACAGACAGCACGCCAGCAGCCTAGAGTCCTCAAGAGTCAAGCAGGTCCATGTCTAATATCCCTCAGATGCAGGGATCAGAGAAGAAGAGACGTTTTCGAAAGGGGCTTAGCAGGCTCACCTCCAAAAGGCCTTGGTCCAGAGTGCACGAAGTGGTACACGGCCCTCACGACGCCCCAGGCGCGGGCATCCCCACTGTGACCTCTCGCCAGGCGCACTTTCTAATGGTCATTAAGAAAAAAGCAGTGAGGGACCAGGATTAACCAGAAGCAAATTGCTGAATTACCACTTCCTATGTAAAGGGAACGCCTATTTGCCCAAATACAGATGGTTAACCATCTATATCCTGTAGGTTATAAAATGATCATATGACCCCTGGAGCCACAGTAAAGCTGATGAGAAGGGAGGGGCCTGGGTGCGGTTCCCCCGCAAGGGCGACTCTGAGCTGCTTTTCAAGGTGTGGCGATGACGTTGTTTTCAAACACGGCCTCTCTGGGCCGGCGACCTCTGGGAGCCTGGAAAGACGCACGAGTATCTAGAAAAGGCCAGTGAGCACGGTGGACGTAGCCTCCAGGGCCCCCCTCCCTGGGTTCACCCGAAAGCTGTGCACCACAGCCAGCTTCTGACCCTCCGCAGCCCCCATCCCTCCGCTGCACAGAGGGGTAGCCGCAGACGGCCACGGGGGCAGCGGGCCCGGCTCTGGAGACCGGCAGGTAGGACGGCGCCTGCAGTGGGGCAGTGAGTGAGCGAAGTCGCTCAGTCGCGTCCGACTCTTCGAAACCCCATGGACTGTAGCCCACCAGGCTCCTCTGTCCGTGGGATTGTCCAGGCAAGAGGACTGGAGTGGGCTGCCATTTCCTCCTCCAGGGGGATTTTCCCAACCCAGGGATCAAACCCAGCCCTCCCGCATTGCAGGCAGACGCTTTACCCTCTGAGCTACCAGAGAAGCCCAGGAGTGGAGTAAGTGCTCAATAAACTCGAGTTTTGGGAGGATAAAAACCCAGGTGGCTCCGCGGTAAAGAAGTCACCTACAACGCAGGAGATGGGGGTTCAATTCCTGGATAGGGACGATCCCCTGGAAAAGGAAATGGCAACCCACTCCAGTATTCTTGCCTGGGAAATCCCATGGACAGAGGAGCCTGGCGGGCTATAGTCCATGGGGTTGCAAAAGAGTTGGACACAATTAAGTGACTGAACACACTGTCAGGGACAACCATTGTCCTGATCTGCTAGCAACATTGATTAGTTTCACCTATTTTAATATTTTATATCAAGGGAACAACACTACAGGTTGTCTTTCCTGTTTGTCATCGGCCAACATTG